TGGTGCAATTGTTTGAGGTTTGAGCTGGACTAGCCACTTTTCTATTATCAGCAAACATAATTTTTTACCAAATTATGCTTCTTCAGACTTGGGAATCTGGCACACATTTTCTCAAAAATGAAGTGAACCTATCACTTCAAAGAAAACAAGTGACAATATTTGTTGCCAATGATACAATTTGAGATTTCAAGCAAAAATTTGAATTTTGCCAAATTTGTATCCATTACCATGAACTTGACAGCTTTCCAATACTTAAAGACTTTTCAGATGAGATTGGTGGTGATGTTAACAGATGAGATTTTTGACATTGTACTGTGAACATCTCAACTTTTGGATGACCTGAGTAATTCAGTAACCCAATGTTTTCCAAATGACCAATGTATGATGTTACAAAATCATGAATTACTAAAAGATCTATTCAAAGGGCATGATAAAACAATGTATTTTAATTTACTAGAGTACAAGTTCAAGGATATGGTTTCATATTCCACTTTGCAACAAACTTAAACTATCATTTGTAGAGTTTTGGTGCAGTATCAGAAAAGAAGATTATCCACAATTACATGAAAAAGTATTAAAATACTCCTCCCTTTTCCATCTACATACCTGTGTGAGATGAAATTTTCTTCATACACTTCAACAACAGCAACAAAAAATCACAACAGATTGAATGCAGAAGCAAATACAGAAATCCATCTCTTTTCTATTAAGCCAGATATTAAGCCAGATTTGCAAAAAGGCAAAACAATGACGCTCTTTTCACTGAATTTCTTTTGTTTCATAAAAAAATAGTTATTTAAGTTAACACGTCATAGATAGAATTGTGTTCCCCCAAAAGATGAACGTGACCTTGTTAGGAAATGAGCCTTTGAAAATGTTATCAAGTAAGTTTACATGAGGCCATACTGGAGAAGGGTGGGTCCTAATTTAATACTGATTTATAAGGAGTGTCGTCCTTATAAAAGAGAAGAAAGACACATAGACACGGAGGGAAGGATGGTCTTGTGACAGAGTTATGTTGCAGCTGTGGGCAGAGGAATGCCTGGGGCTCTCGGAAACTGAAAGAGATAAGGAAGGATCTTCCCCTAGAGCCTTTGAAGACAGCATGGCTCTGCTGACACCTAAGTTTGGACTTTTAGCCTCCCAAACTATAAGACAATAAATTTTTGTTGTTCTAAGCCACCCAGTTTGTGATACTTTGTTACGGCAGCACTAGGTAATTAACACTCCACTACCATCACCAGTTGCCATGGAGTCAGTTCTGACCCATGGAGACCCCATGTGTGCAGAGTAGAACTGTGCTTCATAGGGTTTTCAATGGCTGATTTTTTTGGAAGTAGATCACCAGGACTTTCTTCTGAGGTGCCTCCGGGTGGATTTGAAACTCCAACCTTTTGGTCAGCAGCCAAGCATATTAATCATTTGTGCCACCCAGGAGTCTACCTAGGTAACTAATACAACGTGTAAGGGGTTTATTATTGTTAATTTGTTGTTGTTAGCTACCGTCTAGTCGAGGCCTTAACTCATGGTGACCCCACACACAACCAGACAACTCTTCCCGGTCCTGCACCATCCCCATAATCCGTTGTGAATAGGACTTTTATGATCCATAGGGTTTTCAATGGCTGATTTTCAGAAGTAGATCGCCAGGCCTTTCTTCCTAATTGTTAATTTATTATATGTTAATTATTAAGATTAATTAATAAATAACATTTAAACAATTTCTCAGCTTTAATTTTTAATATGGTGAATATTGATAGATATAACCCATATTAATAAAAGGGTTTTGGAGCTCTCAGTAATTTTTATGTGTGTGTTTTATACATATATATATACATTTTTAAATTGTACTTTAGATGAAGGTTTACAGAACAAACTAGTTTTTCATTAAACAATTAGTACACATATTGTTTTGTGACATTGGTTGCTAATTCCACGACATGTCAACACTCTCCCCTTCTCAACATTGGATTCCCCATTACCAGCTTTCCTGTCCCCTCCTGCCTTCTCATCCTTGCCCCTGGGCTGGTGTGCCTATTTAGTCTTGCTTTGATTTATGGGCCTGTCTAATCGTTGGCTGAAGGGTGACCCTCAGGAGTGACTTCCTTACTGAGCTAAAAGAGTGTCCAGGGGCCTTACTTTTGGGGTTTCTCCAGTCTCTATCAGACCAGTAAGTCTGCTCTTTTTTCTTTTTTCTTTTTTCTGTGAGTTTGAATTTTGTTCTACATTTTTCTCCAGCTCTGTCCAGGACCCTCTGTTGTGATCCCCGTCAGAGCAGTCAGTGGCGATAGCCAGGCACCATCTAGTTGTGCTGGACTCAGTCTGGTGGAGGCCATGGTAGTTGTGGTCTGTTAGTCCTTTGGACTAATCTTTCCCTTGTGTCTTTGGTTTTCTTCATTCTTCCTTGCTTCAGGTGGGGTGAGACCAGTGGAGTATCTTAGATGGCCGCTCACAGAGTTCTCAATAACTTTTAAGCATGTAAACGGGTTCTGAAACCAAAAAGCTTGACAACTGCTGCTCTAAGATGCATGAGGAGAAAATGGTGTTTTGGATGACTAACAAAAGAGAGAGGGAATCAACATTTGCTGATTTGCACTGTTGTTGGGAAACATCTCTGGACTTAATGACAAAGACTGGAATTCAAGACAGACGCATCACTGAAGAGTTCAACGGAAAATTCATCTATTACCTAAAAATGGCAGAAATACTCTTGAGAATATCAAACTTTCAAGGTCCTGATTGGACCTTCCCCGCACTCTTCCAAAGGGCTCCAGTCCCCTGAGTGAATAAGTCCATCACTTTCCCTCCAAGGAAGGGCCTGACTCACACTCCCCACTCAGTACTAGCCATTGTGAGTAGATGTAGGCTAGAAATCTGCCTCCTAGGTCAAATTGAATGCACTTCCAGGCAGTAAGGATCAAAGATGAGCATGCCATGGTTTTTGTCCCAGAGGTCTTCTTAGAAAGACTCTTGAAGAAATAGTTAACAGGATGAAGTAATAAACGCTATTCTGCACAAAGTGATGAAATTTTTCCCACCAACCATTGGGACACAATCTGAACAAGTAATGTAATATCTGACAATGGAATGATCCTGGGGGATCTGGAACAGATGTCTGCTGTATTTATTAAGAAACTCCCCAAATTGCACAGAAATTCTGTTAGATTTGTATTTGATTTGGCCCCAAAGTCCAGAAACAATGGTTCTATACCTCTTTTTTTTTTTTTTTTTTAATTCTGGGAAATGACAGCGGCAGAATAGAAAGGAACAAGAAACTCTTTAGGATTACAAAAGATGAGTAATGGGCCCTTAACATTTTATTTCCTCTGGGTTAGTGGACAAGAGGCACTGGGGAAATTTTTCCACCGTATTTGTTCCAAGTGGGTCTCTCCCTCCCCCAGGCAGGGTCCAAGTTTGCTCATGCGGTTCTCCCACACCAGCTGAAGTAGATCAGCCCCAATCCCAGAGTAGGAAGACTGAATGAGTAAGAGGCTTCTAAGATCCCAAGGCTTGACCACACGTGGGTAAAATTAAACAGTAGGGCTCTTGAGCTGCCAAGAAATGTTGGGGTCCCCTTTGGCTATTTGGAAGTACAGAAGTCTGCTTTGGCCTGGGTCTTCCCAGGCCCTAACCACATGCCCTTCTCTCCCCTTTCCTTTGGCTTCTAACCCATACCCATTCCTCTTTTGAATCTCTTTCCTCAGGTCCATTCTTTTCTCCCAGCTGAGACAACTTCAAAGTGAAATGAACAAGAACAAAACAGAAAATGAACTGAAAAACATGCTCAGTGCCACACTTGGACATCCTGCCACCCAGTTAGAGAGACTGGGAGACACCGGGTCCTAAAGACAATCCAGACCAATGCCAGGACAAGAAGCAGGACAAATCTGGATTTGAATCTTGGATCCATGACTTACATTTGATTATATCATGACATTTCTCCGATCACCAGTGACCTCTTCCACAAAAAATGGGTTACTTTGAAAATTAAATGATGAAACCTATGTAACAATGCTTGTCACATAGCAAGTCCACTATTCAGTTATAATTTTCACACTTTTTTGTGTGATTATTTGAGTAGCCTGTCTCCCCACTAGCCTCTGAGTCACCTGAGGACATGGGCTGTGTCTTTTTTATTCACTATTATATCTCCTAGTGGTACAGATGGTTACTGAGCTGGGCTGCTAACTGAATGGCTGGAGGTTTGAGTCCACCCAGAGTCACCTTGGAAGAAGAGTCTAGTGATCTACTTTCCAGAAAGGAGCCACTGAAAACCTTATGGAGCACAGTTCTACTCTGACACACATGGGGTCGCCATGAGTTGGAATTTACTCAATGGCAACTGTTTTTTTGTTTTGTTTTAATTATATCTCCAGAGCTTAGCACAGTGCCTGGCACATGTTAGGCCTTTGCTGAGACAACTGTATGATGAAAAGGAGTTAGTAGGGTCCTGACTGAGAATCTATTCCAAAATAGCAAATTTGGGGTCTCCTGACAGTACCCATGGATTGGCATTAGCTATCAGGAAAATGGTGTTATAAAGTGTTCTAGAATCAGCAGGGAAAGGTGTGCTGACTGATTTACCAACATCTGCCATGGGTGAGGATGTTGAGTATGTGCTGACCTTGGTCTGTGGAGTCAAGAGCAGGTCCCTTTGCCAGCTATTTCCAGCACAAAGAGGCCTGTTGTATAATTCATGGATAGGGCCATTATGGGAGGACTGAGGTTACCAAATGCCTGACATGAAGATAAGCAGCATGAATTCAGGAACACTTTTTAAATGACAGATAAGAAAATACTTAGAACAATGCTATGCAAAGAAGCTAAAAGCATACCCCTACTACATTTGCCTGTCTTAATGAATTCACTGACTTGGAATGTGTGTGTCATGAATCAATTGATAAGAGCAAGCAGACCTGACATACTTCATCTAGTGTACCCCACAACCAGACAGCGCTCTGCAATGTGCTCTTCGCCTAGCCCATAAAGCAACTACTCACGAGGGTAATCCTTTGGGTGTGTCTTCTCAGACCAATTCCCATAAAATGTGAGTCTGTACTTAGCAGTCCCACAGGCACAGCAGTCTAAGATTGGTTTCTCAGTCACCCCGTCAAAGGTAGAATCTGAAACAAAGTCAGAAGAATCACCGCGTTAGGAGGCAAATGTGGGCTGTTTATAACGTAGCGCCATCTTGATCTCATGCCGAACTCTTGAGAAAAGAAGGTGAGGTGCAGTTTTCTTTGGTTAATAAGACCTAGAACCTGATCAGTACTTGGGCTGTAAGGGATTTTGTATACCTCTAATAATGGTAACTATGTTTTGGAAATTAAAAACAAAAAATTGAAACTTTCACTCTAATAATCTGAAGAGACTTATGGGACCAATAGGGCAGAATATTTGAGATGGAGACTATCTTGGGGTATCAGCGGTAAAAATCTGACTCAATTATCCTTTCTGGGCTCTAGACTCCTTCCCTACCCCTCCCACGACAGGATGTCTTTATCAAATTTTAAGAGGAATATGTATGTGTGTGTATTTTCGCTAAGAAATATTTTCTGGGGCCAAATTGCCAGTACCAGAAGTAGTAACTTTAAAGGAGAGCAGTGATAACAAGTAGAGAGATATAAATGACTGCTGAAAATTTAAAAAGAAAAAAAAATATGCATATATAGTCTCACCACTTCTTATCAACCTTTCAGAGACTTCACTGGGAGTAATGGGGTTTGGAAATACGTTCCTAAGTTCAAGTTTACTTCTGGGCATAGGAGCAGTCAGGAAAAACTTAAGAAAATTCTCTCTCCACCACCATTTTCAGCTGTGAATAGCTGATAAGTGAGGAAAGAGAGATTACATGAATAAATTCAGTGTTTCCGATTGTCAATCCCACATTCCTAACTGTGCATTGTTGCTTTTAGTCTGTTTGGCTTCCTGCAAGATGAAAACAATGACTACAGATGCAACTTGTCAATTGCTTTTTCTTCTGTTTCCTTAGTAGTATTAACATAAATGCTCTTTTTTTTTTTTTTTTTGCAAGTTGGACATTTATTCTAAAATATTATACAAAGAGTAGCAACAAAGAGCATAAAAATCTTTTTGAGTGTCAGGAAGAGTGCTTTACAAGTCTTCCCTTTGGAATTCACTGAGTTCATTTGGTCTGAATATGTAAACTCGGTGATGGGTAGAATAAATCAATTCTGTGTTCTAGGATGGTGATGAGAGTATTGGACTTTGTAATAATAACGACAATGTATTGAGTCCTTTCCATATATTGTCTCATTTAATCAGAATAGTCCTAGGAGGTAAGTGCTTGGATTATTCCCATTTTACAGATCCATAAATTAAGGCAGATTAGGTAACTTGCCCAAGGTCACAGGGGTAGGGAGTGGTGTAGGCAGAACTGGAGTCTAGATCTTTTTGAATTCAGAGCCCACGTTCTCAATCTCTGCACTATCTCATGTCCAGGAAAGACCTTCTCTGGATAGGTCTGCATAAACACTAAAGACAGAAAAATTTTTTTCTTGTTGTTTGTCTTTGCTTTTTCAAATGAAGTGTGGTGCATTTCAAAAAATATCTCCCTACCTAGCTCAGGGATTTCTAAACTGCCCCAAAGAAGAGGTTTGAAATCACTTAAAGCGGAAATCATTGTCTAGCTACTTGGGAGAGGCTAGAGCATTGCTTACATTTAGGGTCTCCCCACTGCCTTATGTGTAAGAATCCCAGCTCTCCTTTCTGTGTGAGCCACTTTAATAGCTAAGGAGACAAGGCCTGCTCAATATATTTTAGAAACAGTAGCGCAAATCAGTAACTTCTGAAGATTTAACTTTTTGCATTCCCATTATGATCAACTATGTTGTTAAAAAAACAAAAAACTAAATCAGTTTTGAAAAAGGGGTTCAGACCTAAGATATAGATGCTGCTGGGCTTTCAATTGTAACTACAAGAGTTGTTAAATGAGGCAGCAATCATCTCTTAAAGAACCAAAATTAGGTAAATTGGTAGCTTCACTTTATCAAGAAAGCTTTCAGATGAGAGCTCTGACCCAGTTCGTTCCAGTTTGAACTCCTGCTGAGAATTTGCACTTCCACCTGAGATATACTGAATCAGAATCTACAGTTTAACAAGATTCCCAAGTGATTCTTATGTGTAAAAAATTTTGAGAACCACTGCTCTACTAGTGGTTCTCAGAACAGAACTGGTCCCTAACCAGCATCGTTAGCATTAGCTGAAAACTTAGAAATGCAAATTCTCAGCAGGGGTTCGAACTGGAAGGAACCTGTTCCAAGCCCTATTTCAGATACAGGTAGTAAACTTCGAGATATTTCCAAGGGTTCAAGAGGGTACACTTACAAGAAACCTTTTGGAATTCTAAAGGAAAATAAACTTCCAATTGAAAAATAAATTTTTAAGTTTGAAAATAAAAACAGACATCCTATTCCTACTGATGAAAAGCCTATTGGGAAATGAATGGGGTTTTCATAGGGCAGTGGTAACAAATGGTAACTTACAAATGAGAACTAACCAGCTTCTCTCCAAACAGCAGCAGAGCCTGTTGAACAGAGGTGACTGCAGGCCCTGGAACATCTCTTGCGGTGCCTCCTTCCCCATCTCTACTCCGCATCCTTATCTACTCCCATCCTTTGTTCTTTGCCTCTCTCCCCTTTTCTTCCTTGTCTCATTATCCCTTCTCTGCTCACAGTTTTCTCTCTTCTTCCCCCTTCATCTTTCCCTTTTTGTCTTTCTCCGTTTGTGACATGGTACTAAATATGTATGTGTGTGTACATCTATATATTATTTGTCACATTCTGAATAATATTTTATTTTTCTCTGCTCTTAATTCTGAACTAATGTTTTATGTTTCTTAAAAAAATAAAACAGAACCCAATAGATTGCCATTGTTTTTTTTATCTGTGCAGCTCTTAATCTTTCCCCTGTGGATTAGTGGCCCCAGTTTGGAAAAAATAATAGGTAAAAGTTTCTCTCTCTCCTTCCTTGATAGACTTGATTTGACTCAACAAAGAAGTAAAGAATGTAAAGACTCTAATGAAAGAGCTAGAGATAATTAAGCGAGCATACACATTTAAAAAAAAAAATCCCTTTGCTCTATGTTTCTATCTTAAAGGAGCTCTGAATGTAATCTGTTTTGCTGATGAATTTCTTTATGGGTCTGCTGTCCCCAGGATCGTCTACAAGAGCACCTAATGATTCCACAGCTCAGGTCCTGCTGGACCTTTTTTTGGCCACCAAGTTGCCCTTGAAAGTGGTCTTTTGATACAGATGCATTCGCAGTCATTTTGCTAGGATCTCTGCTTTGGAAGTGACAGCTAATAGAGATTTGCTACGCCATTTTATTGACACTGTCTCTGCAGAATTTTAGCATATTCACAGCTTAGACAAAGGCTTCAAACAACATCAAGACTGAGGCTTTGGAAAGTGCACTTTAGTTAATGACTGTTGTCAGTACACAGGAGTGCCAGTGAAGTGTCCCCTAAGTACCCTCCAATCCAGGAAATAAGGTTGTCCTCTGGCGAACTAACAAAACCACACCACAGAGGCTGTGATTAGCTGCCTGTGGGCACAGACCAGGAGATGGCCTGTAAATGTGTGATCCAGAGCATCCAAACCTCTAACCCATGGGACCTACATGCCATCTCATGGAGGCAGGGCAGGAATGTCGCTGTCATTTCGGAATCAAGAGCCTCAGCAGTTGAGATGTTCCCTGTTTGGAGAAAGGCCAAATGAACTTACAAGCAATGGAATACAGGAAACGAGAGCCGCCAAACTCGTGTGGTGATGTCCTCCCAGAAGCTGACCAGGGCCCTGGTCCACAGACTCACTCTCTCTGCCCCTGTGGCAGATTTAACCCTAATGCAGGCCATCCAATTCTCTCTGCTTTTTCTGTTCCATGCTTACCAAGCAATTACTTGGGACCTAGTTTCTGCTCTAGCTCATCTATAGGGAGACAGTACATTGATCTGCCAGTGATGCAAGTTACTAAATTGGGAGGTAGTTCTTTCGATAGAGGAGTCCCTGGGTGGTGCAAATGGTTAGTGCACTTGGCTGCTAACCAAAAGGTTGGCGAGTCCACCCAGAGGTACCTCAGAAGAAAGGCCTGGTGATCTACTTCCAAAAAATTAGCCATTGAAAACCCTGTGGAGCACAGTTCTACTCTGACACACATGGGGTTGCCAAGAGTCGGGATTGACTTGACAGCAACTGTATTTTTTTCCTCTGATAGAAAGGCAGTGGCAAAAGGCACTGGCTCTGGAGACAGCTGGCCTGCATTCAAACCCTGCCCTCTATCACTAGCTATATGATACTAAGCAAGTGATTTAACCTTTTTATCTCAGGTTCCTCATCTGTAAAATAGGGATAATAGTCTCTACTATATAGGGTTGTTGTGCAGATTGTACGATTAACGCATGTGAAGGGCTTGTAGTAAGAACTCAAAAATATTAGTTATTTTTACTATTATTTTCCCAGAAGATCTTCATTTAACCTTTCTTTTCTTTAGTAGCTTATGATTTGCTAGTGTTGGAGAGGATTATTTCTTCTCAAAATACTAATTGCTCTAAATGCATATAAAAATTCTGCAAAAATGAATAGAAATGAGATCGTTAAGATGGATAATGACAGAATTTTTTCTATTTTTATTTAGTTCTCTAATAAGTTCTAAATACATTTAGATTTTTAAGGTCTTTATTTTTACAGCAGATGAATAAATGAGCTTTCTGATATAGATGACAAGAGCTAGCACTTACCAATATAATATTTACTATGTGCCAGAGAGGAAGAGTACTGTTTTACAGATATTAAGTTACAAGGTCACATGGCTAGGAAGGGCAGAGGCAAGATTCAAACCCAGGCCTGATCTAAATCAAGTCCTCTGCTCTAACCTCCAACCTCTCTAATCTCTCTGTGAGCTTTGTTAGAATGTCTTCAACCCCAGGAGGAGGGGGACGATGAGCTTGCACATGCAAGGCCCCATCCTCCACTGTGGTGAAATCACAAGGTCAAGGTCCCCACTGGCATCCCCATCCTCTGCTGGTCTTCCCTGGAGAAAAATCCCCCCACATTACCTGGATGCCAAACAAGTTCCTGCTGCAATGAGTATTCCAGAGACCCTTTACAGATTTTTTAAAGGTACACAATTGCAAATTCCTTAATTAAGTCCTGTGAATTATTCCAAGGAACCTCTTCAGAGTAATCACTGTTTCACAAAAATAAGAAGACGACATCAATATAAGGTACATTATCTTGTACCCGGGGAATCAAGCTGAGTAATTAGAGCTTAAGGCGGATCCAATTATCCAGAGCACACAGCCAGATTAAAAATTGGAGCTACGTGAGGAAGCAGAACCTAGAGGAACTCGGAAAGCCCAAGCACCTTGTTTCCTGTGGCAAATCCTTGGATTAAATGAACCACCTTCTATTTATCTTCCCCTGCCCTACCAGCCGGTTCTTACCTTGTTCACAAAGTTTCTTGGTCAGAGAGCCCTCGTCTTGAAAATAAATGATGCGTTTCTGTACGATGCTGGCTCTGTAGGAAAGAAGACAGCACGGTGGTCAGGAGGGCAGGTTTGAGAGTTGAGTCAGACCTGGTCCTTGCTTGGCCACCTTTGGGTCAGTCAGCCCAACTCTGTGTACCTCAGTTTCTTCGTTCAAATACCGAAATAATAATAATACCTACCTCATGGGTTTGCTATGGGGATTAAATAAGAAAATACATCAAGAGCTTAGCACGTGCCTAGAAATTTTGTTGGTGGTGGCAGTGATTATATAATTCAGGTAAGAAAGTAAACTAACAGCATTTTCAATAACTTTCCTCAATGGTTCATTTTTACTCTTCTTTTTATATCAAACTATTGAGGCCATTTATAGATCGACCAAATTCAAATCATAGAAGCGTGTCAAACCTCTTCCTGAAAGAAAAAAGGAATTTAAAAATATTTTTTGATTTGTTCTGAAAATGTCATTCTACATCTTTCCTGAAAGTCTAGACGAAACTGTCTCCTGCATTCTGAACAAAGACAACTTCAGCTGTTACATTGCTCTCTTGTCAAACACAGGATCTTAGAATTTGGAAATATTTGGAGCCTGAATAATGACGAACTTTTGGCCAGCACAGACTTTCTCTTTAATCTGGGATTGCACAGACAGGCCACTCACTTCTCCATCCCCCCTCCACTCTTTATTTTCGGTCAGTCTCACAGAGGTTGGATCCTGAAACCCAGTGTTCCAGTAATCTGAAAGTCTATGACAATTAAAATTGAGACAGTGCCAATGGACCTTAGGCCATTTCTATTGATTTTCTTTAGCCATGCTTCTCAATCAGAAGGTAACTTTCACTTCCATTTGCCATACTTAGGAGATAAAGAGGTCCCTTGACTATATTACAGAGTCCCTGGGTGGTACAAATGGTTAACATGCTTGGCTGCTAACTGAAAGGTTGGAGGTTTAAGTTCACTCAGAGGTGCCTCAGAAGAAAGCCCTGGTGATTTACTTCTGAAAGGTCACAGCCATTGAAAACCCTATGGAGCGCAGTTCTACTCTGACACACATGAGGCCACCACGTGTCAGAACAGATTCAACAGCAACTGGTGCTGGTGGTGGTGGTGACTGCGTTACAGCTGACCATGCAGACCGATTGATGGAGTCACAAGATCTTCCCTGTGTCACACGATCTCAGACCCAGGAACGGGCCCAAGTATGCATGAATCTGCTGAGGACAGAGCAATTTCTAGATGGTCTGGGCCTAGGCCAAGGCGCCTTTCCAAAGAAGCGTGAACTCTACATCCAGTCTTGCACAAAAGAATAAAATTCAGACCAGCCTACAGATGTCTTTTACAGTCTTTCCCCACCCAAGAGAGATTAGATGTTGAAATAAATGAATGAAATATGCCTCTGTCTACACAAAGCTACTTTGATCATTTATCTGGTTTGTTGACCACTGAGCAGGAAAGTTTCCTTGGGCCAAGAGAATAACATTCATCCCTATGCCAAAGCCACATACCAAAGCCTTTTGTTAGTTAGAGCATCCCACAATCTACATCAGTGCCTTTCCCTTCCACATGTTCCCCACCAAGAGAAGTGCCTCAGGGACTCCTGTGGAGGCCAGTGAGTAGGCCTAGTGGGAGGTGTGGCAGCCCAACATTCTGCTTCTACCAAAGGCTCTGGCCTCCATCTTTATTTCAGCCAAAGCAGCCTTTCCCCTACTTGTTTTCCTGGTATATTTACTAATACATTTTTCAGCAGAGTTGTTGGGGGCCTGCTTAGTGGTCAGATGCTGTAGGAGATGCTGGGGAAACTGTAGGGAACAAGACGGATGGAGCCATTTCCCGTTCTTAAAGTTTACAGTATAGTGGGGTGGGGAGGGACATCAAACTACTAAACCCAACGTAGAAGGTCCTGAGCAAGCTGGGAAAGGCTCCTCTGAGAAAGGATGTGTAGGTACTAACTCATAGGGTGGCTCTGAGTTGGAATTGACTCAATGGCAATGGGTTTGGGTTTTTTTTGGTTTTTGAGGTACTAACTGGGAGGGCGGGGTGCAGTGGTGGTTCAGTGGTAGAATTCTCCTTCCATGCAGGAGACACAGGTTCAATTCCCAACAAATGCACCACATGTGTAGCCATGACCTTTCTGTCTGTTGAGGCTTGTGTGTTGCTATGGTGCTGAACAGGTTTCAGTGGAGCCTCTAGACTAAGATGAACTAGGAAGAAAGGCCTGGAGCGCGCGCGCGCGCGCACACACACACACACACACACACACACTTATTTCAGTTGCCTAACTCGTACCCAACTGAGACTTTATTTTCTTCAGATTGCCTTCCCTGACTGGCTGTACTTTCTATGACAGCCACAGTCTCTTGGGTTTCTCCTACCACAGTATTTATTAACTGCTACTGCAATTGCCTGTTTACTTTTGTCTTCTGTGTTAGATTATAAGTTTCTTGGGAGGAGGGACTGTATTTTACTTATTTCTATAGGCATTAGAATAATTTCAATACTGGAATTCAAGGAGAAGGGACAGGGTTTGGGAAAAAGAAGAGGAGTTGAGATTGAACTGCCTATAGGACATGATGGTGATAAGTCTAGTGAGTAGTTAGAGATACCCATTGCCGTCGGGTTAGTTCACACCCCCAAATCATTGCAACCCTAAAGGACAGAGTAGAATTGCCCCATAGGGTTTCCAAGGCTGTAATCTTTATGGAAGCAGACTGCCACATCTTTCTCCTGTTGAGTGGCTGGTGGGTTAGAACCACTGACCTTTTGATTAGCAGCTGAGCACTTAACCACTGTGCCACCAGGGCTCCTTGGGTAGTTAGATACATGGACCTGTAACTCAGGAGAGATGTAAGGAGATGAGAGTATGGATCTGAGAATAAGTAACCTTATGGGGCAGTTCTACTGTGTCCTATACGGTTGCTATGAGTTGGAATCAACTTGATGGCAATGAGTTTGGTTTTGGCACATAGGTAAGCAGCCCGTTGGTGGCACTCAGCTACTAACTGAGAGGTTGGCAAGTTGAATCCACCCAGCGGCCCCTCTGAAGAAAGGCCTGGTGATCTACTTCCAAAAAATCACAGCTATTGAAAGCCCCGTAGAGTGCAGTTCTACTCTGAAAGCAAGGCTTCTAACTGTTTTCTTCTGGTTTGGACCACTGCTGAGGAAGTTATACATAAGAATCACCTGGGAAACTTGTTAAAATGTAGATTCTGAATCAGTATATCTGGGGTAGAAATGCAAATTCTCAGTAGGGAACTTATTAGAAATGCAAATTCTCAGCAGGGGTTTGAACCGGAAAGAATCAGGTTTGAAGCCTGGTCTGAAACACATGGGGTCATCATGAGTAGGAATTGACTCATCAGCAACTGGTTTGGTTTTATTTTGGTTTGGTGCATAGGTAAGCATTGCAGTGCTTGGAGTGGCTGATGTTACCCAGGGCAAGTGTGTAGATTGAGAAGAGAGTCAAGCTGAGCCTGAAACTTTGGGGAAGACCAACATATCCCTACAGACGTGTTAGCAGAGACCAAGACTTTAGTAGGGTTGGTTGCAGAAGATGTTTTCTTTTCATTCCCCACTTGGTCAATGCCTGCAAGAATTTCATATTCTGAGAAAATGCATTTCACTTTGAGGCTTCTCTTGTCAAAAGTATAAAACCCAGCTGAGATTTATGAATCATATTATAGTTCAGAAAAATAATAGCCTTACAAGATGAGAAAGCTGTTAGTAACAATTCCCTCAGCATTTCAAAATAACAAATTTCTCTCATTTTATGTTGCGATTTGGCAGTCCTGTTGCATAGCATTTATATACTGATTACTTCTTATCATGAGAGAGTGTGTTAAGGAAATCTAAATTAAATTTCTTGGTATGTTGGCTTCTCAAACTTTGGAATATCAAGGTTCTAAATAACTCACTAATCATTCCAAAAGTTTTCTTTTAAACCTAAAATGGAACTTTTCCAGGAACACCATTCTGAATCTCTTGGATGCTTGTCCTTTTTAGGTCTGAAGAGTTTATTTACTTGCTGGTCTTTTTTCCTTGGGGAATTTGCCTGTTGAGGTAAAGCTAGAGTCTGCTAACATTGTGGGTTTGCTGTCTAGGGCTGAAAAGGGCTGGGATCCTGCTCTTACCAAAAAGGGACAGGGAGACCTCTGAAACAAAAGGACTTGGGAGATAATAGGACATGAAATTACTTAAAAATATGCATGGCTCTTCAGCAGCTGGGCTACTTGTATAGCGATAATTCACGGAAGGTGCCTAACACAGCACACTGCACACACCAACTACTTAGTACGTGGTAGACATTATTGTTGCTGTTGTTAACTCACCACCAGCCTCTAACTAAGTGCCTGGCACATAATAAGTGCTTAATAAACAGTAGCTGTTACTATGATTGTTTCAGGTCTGCCATCTTTGCTTGTGGAGAGAAGAGTGAGGGTGCTCTCTGGTCAGCTGCTTCACGCAGAGATAATAAATGACCAAAATGAAGCTTGTGTTTGTGGTCTTCAGACTATTTTTGCCAAACCTCCTTTCCAATTCCAGTAAATTCCTTATTACTAAGCATTTCTTGAAGTACTTTACAAAATGTCTCTATAATCTCAAGGATGTTTTCCATAGAGTTGATCCAGTTTCTAATGAGTAACATTTAGTCTCTTCTACCAATGAAAGAAAAACTCTTTGGAAGGACCTAGGAATGAAATATTGAATTCACAGTGATGGTAACATCACCAGGCATTGAGGCTATCTGCATTTTTACTTCACAGGGATACGAGTGATCACCTGACCATGGCCTCACATCAATCAGCAAATATTTAGAGTATGTACACATTCCATGATCCAAACTATCACCTATCTTTTATATGGCCTGTAATAGTTTCCCAGGGGTGCTAAAACAGATTACTACAAACTGTGTGGCTTAAAACAACAAAAACTCATTGTCTCACAGATTTGGAGGCTAGAAGTCTAAATTCAGGGTGTTGGAAGGGCCATTCTCTCTCTGAAGGCTCTAGGGGAAGATTCTTTCTTGTCTCTCCAC